ATAAAGTATATAGTGTAATATAGTATAGAATAATATAGTATAATAAAGTAATTAATTAGCCTTTTGATATCAATGGAGTCCTCCTCATCATTCTCTCCCCCTCATCAGGGAAATACTATAGGCAGGAAATTCTGTAGACAGAAATTCTATAGACAGAAATACTACAGACACAAATACTACATCCCCCTCGTTGCCTGCAGACGCTGTAGACAGCAGTGTTTCTTTTCCTCTCCTTGCTGGCAGGTTATCCCCCAGCTGATCGCCAGGATTGACACCCCCCGGCCGCTGGTGGGGCGGCTCATCCACCAACTGCTGACGGACATCGGGCGCTACCACCCGCAGGTGAGCCGGGGGTCAGCACACCAATTCTCACAGTGCTGCACAGGGGTCACAGCAAGTGTGGCAGTGAGGATGGGGACAGTTTGTGTTGCTGCTGCTGCTGCTTTCACCTCAGCACTTCACATGAAAAGGGAAGGAGGTGAATGAGCCATGCAGCCTGGAAGACTCTTTGTCTAATGTAACTTAATGTCTGCTGGGCAGTGCAAATCACCTTAAATGTCTAAGAACCTTCCTCACAGGTTTTATCTAAATTTCTTTCCACAGTGTGGAATATCACAAAATCCTATGACCTATTTTTGTTCTTCCAGTTTGAAAGAGGCTCTCAATGTCATTCTGCTATTCAGTGAATTAAAGTCTTGACAGCCTGTTGTTGGATCAGAAGAATTTCAGTAGTAAATTCCTATCACTGCTTTTCAGAAGCTTGCTTCCTCCTGTTGATTCCTAAGGCTGATGTTAATGCTTTGCTAATTATTTATGTGGCTGTTCTTTGGGGTTCTAAAGTATTATTGGTTTCTGTCCCTTGCAGGCTTTGATTTATCCTTTGACTGTGGCTTCTAAATCCACGACTACTGCTCGGCACAATGCTGCAAATAAGATCTTGAAAAATATGTGTGAGCACAGCAACACTCTGGTGCAGCAGGCAATGATGGTGAGTGCTCAGTGTAGCTTTAAATGTGTTATGTTGGATGGAGGAAGTCAATTATAGTAACTCAAAATGATCATTCATTGTTGATTCTCATCAAGAATAATTAATTTGGGATATTTGCTACTGTTAGAAGCTACAGTATCCATGTAATTTCCAGATAATGCTTCCATTTTACAATAATTCACACACTGAGTTTTTGTGCTTCCTTATGAATAAATTTAGAGAAGAAATACATGAAAAATCTTTGTTCCATAAAGAGGTGGTTTTGCTTAATTAGAAGTAGAAACAAAACTTACTGAGCATAGCATAGAAAGAGTAATGTAATTAATTTGATAAAGATTTTTATGAATAAATGAAAAATAATGCTTTCAGGCCAAGCTGCACAAGCATGTAGAAAATTTCAAAGGTAACAAATAAGGTGAGAAAAGCCTGGTTAGCTTATTACAGAAAAAATGTGCCATCACCATGGTTGTAGAAAATTTCAAAGGTAACAAATAAGGTGAGAAAAGCCTGGTTAGCTTATTACAGAAAAAATGTGCCATCACCATGGTTGTAGAAAATTTCAAAGGTAACAAATAAGGTGAGAAAAGCAGGGTTAACTTCTTACAGAAAAAATGTGCCATCACCATGGTAGTTCTTGTAGCTCCCTCTGGCTTCCAGGAGCAAATATTTCATAGCATTAGAGAAGAGAGGAGTTTTGCAATTGTAAGTCAGGACCCACTCACAGGGATTTTTTTAGATGTTTAATCTTTTTTTCTGTCTAAAACAGGTGAGTGAAGAGCTGATTCGTGTGGCCATCCTGTGGCATGAGATGTGGCATGAAGGGTTGGAAGAAGCATCTCGTCTGTATTTTGGAGAAAGGAATGTAAAGGGAATGTTTGAGGTGCTGGAACCACTTCATGCCATGATGGAGAGAGGGCCTCAGACTTTAAAGGAGACATCCTTCAATCAGGTATCAGCAAATGGCCCAGAGGTGTTCTGCAGGAACAGCTGCCCCAGATGTATTACAAGAACCTTTGCCATTTAACACAAAAAGTGAATCTCTTGGGGCTCATTATGTTAGTTGCAGATTTCATTATTGAAATGAAAACTTTATCTTCAGATCTGTGTCACTTTTGGTGACTAAAAGAGGCCATGATAGTCCAAATTGCCCTGGAGTCTTGTATAGGCAGGGTGTCTGATAGGGACTGTAAAACAATGACTGCTTTGCTGTTAATAATTCTGCTTTGTTCACTGAAAGCACTGGCACAGATAACAGAATTCACTGAGCTTGTAAGCCTACTGTTAAAGGGAGATTCTAAGCATTCAGTTCCTCCTATAATGAAGTCTACTTGTGAGCAATGTTGTTTGATAAATTCAATGCAGATCTTGGATCCAGGAATTTCTGGATCTGCTATAAAAAATGCTATAAAATTCTGATCTGCTATAAAATGTGAGATCAAGTACTTGTAGTGCAATTTGAAAAGAGACTCTGATGCTCTTTGTAGGTGTTAAGTGGTCTCCACCTGTTACACTACAGTCTGTTGAAATTAATTTTTCTGTTGTTTGAATCCCTAGGCCTATGGCAGAGATCTCATGGAAGCTCAGGAGTGGTGCAGGAAGTATATGAAATCAGGAAATGTCAAAGACCTGACTCAGGCTTGGGATCTCTATTACCACGTGTTCCGTCGGATCTCAAAGCAGCTGCCACAGGTGAGGGGGGAGATTCAGATCTTTTATTTGTCTTTACAGTGCAAGTTGTCAATACCAACCTTTGCTTTATGTTTTCTGGTTATTCAAAACTCACTAATTAGGTATTCTGGAAATAACTGCATAGGGCTTGCTGCAATTTTGGTGTTTGTGCAATTCCTGCAAGTACCCCAAGTATTGGTCACAGCCTGAACTGTTGTAGGTCCCTTGACAGCATGAACACTTCAGATGCTTCTGTGAGATTGAACTAAAATTCTAGGGGGTTGTATTTCTTTTGGTTTTGGTAGCTCACTTCCTTGGAGCTGCAGTATGTGTCACCAAAACTCTTGATGTGCCGGGATCTGGAGTTGGCAGTGCCAGGAACGTACGACCCCAACCAGCCCATCATCCGGATCCAGTCCATCGCTCCCTCACTGCAGGTCATCACCTCCAAGCAGAGACCCAGGAAGCTGACATTAATGGGTAAGAGAGAGCAGTTTTCACTTTGCTATTCCAGTATTTAGAGTTGTTGCTCTTAGGTCCAATTATATGTTTACCTGGTAAAACCTGTACAACCTTTCCTTTCAGGTGAAGTTTTTCTTAATCGGTCAGATGTAGCCATGATATTTTATGAAAAATCCTTTCCTTAGGATTTTTTCTCCTGAGAAGCTTAGAGGCCTCAGGAACAAAATGTAAACATTGATTATCTGCTGCTGTGGAATGCAACAGGTGCATCTGTGATTGGCCCATGTTGGTTGTTTCTAATTAATGGCCAATCACAGCTGGCTCAGACTCTCTGTCCTAGACACAAACCTTTGTTATTCATTCTTTCTTTTTCTATTCTTAGCCAGCCTTCTGATGAAATGGTTTCTTCTATTCTTTTAGTCTAGTTTTAATACAATATATATCATAAAATAATGAATCAAACTTTCTGAAACATGGAGTCTCTTCCCTCATCCTCCAACCCCTGTGAACACCGTCACAGTCTGACTGCCACACTTTCCAGCTTTGGGTGCATGTGTGTTTATTCCTGTCAGTTTATTCAATGTGAATAAACTTTTGTGCACTAATTCTTTTGCAGGAAGCAATGGCCATGAGTTTGTATTCCTTCTGAAAGGCCACGAAGACCTTCGCCAAGATGAAAGAGTGATGCAGCTTTTTGGGTTGGTCAACACTCTGTTAGCAAATGACCCAACTTCTCTTCGTAAAAACCTCAGGTGTGTGCTCTGTGTGATCACTGAAAATGCTTCTGCATTTGTGACTCCTTACACAGGGGCAGCTTTGCAGGTAAACCTTGGCACAAGCAGTGGATTTAGGAGAAAATGGCAAATCTTGGAATTAAGTTAATTAAAAAGAAAACCAGCCTTCATAGAATTCAAACATGGAGGAAATGTATCAGGAGATTGTTTATTTTATTTAATTGAAGTGCTGTCTTGTAAATTGTTATGGTCTTTGAAGCAATGCCTATTTCAAGACACCTTGAGCACTGCCTAGGAGACTGAGAATGGGGTTTTGCCAAAGATTTTTATTTTAGTCTCTAAATAGCTTGGTGAAGAGTCACTGAGTGCAATTCTGCAGTGTTTTTCAAACAAGAACACATCAAATACCCTGTGCAGATAACAGATCACTGTGGGTGCCATAACATGTACCTTCTGAAAGCAGCCTTTCAGTGAAAACCACATAAGCTTTGAGCTTGTCTCTAGATTACCTGGCAACAATCTGTGCAAAATAGATGTTTGAAGTCTGTTTGAAAAGACAAGCAGAGCAACATTTTACAATTTGAACCAGAATCAGATTTAACAGTAGTTGTTTTAAGCATCTCAAATATTATGTTACAATCTACAACAATTTGAGCTGTGATTTTCTATTTTTTCCCACAGCATCCAGAGATATGCTGTCATTCCACTGTCTACAAATTCAGGCTTGATTGGCTGGGTGCCCCACTGTGACACCCTGCACGCTCTCATCCGGGACTACAGGGAGAAGAAAAAGATCCTGCTCAACATCGAGCACCGCATCATGCTCAGGGTAAGGAGCAAAGGCTCTGGTCCATTTTATAGCCCACCAGTGTCTTAGTGAAGGAAAACTATGCAAGGCTTCTTCCTCTGCCTCTTTTCTGATTGTTACAATAAATAAAACATATTTAGATGAGAGTTAGTGAGCACAAGTTGTTGCCATTTGGTAAGTGATGTGTGTTGGGAATTTTGCATGGCTGTGGTGTGTCTCATACAAGGTGCTGTGCTGCTGGAATTACAAACATTGTGTCTAAGCAGCAGGACCAAAATTGGACAGATTGGAGAAACTGAACAATACTAGAAAATTTGAAATTTCCTGCCAAAAAGGAAAGGGTTTTCCAGCCCCAAACACTTATTTGGATAATG